AACAAATGTACAAATGTGCTTGACACAATGGATGGATGTATGGATTGTGATAAGAGTTGTATGAGCCCCCAATAAAATGATTTTTTTTTAAAAAGAAGAAGAAGGATTATGGGACAAAGCAGGCTTTTTTCTTCTTCTCAGCCTTAGAAGACTAGCTCAAAGGGAGTGAATTTAAAATAATAGAATGAGGGTTCACAATAGATATTGGGAAGTGGTTACTGCCACATCCAGCACAATCAGGAATATATTTGGAAAAGATCAACATGTACTCCTTCAAAATTGGGTGATCCAAATTGTATGAAATGAAGATTTCAAAGAGCTTCTCCTTACCATTAATTAATTCTAAAATAAACTGAGGTTAAATGAGAGGAGACGCCTACGCCTGGTCCCCTTGCAGAAGCACTGCAGGTGAGCTTCCCCATGTTGGTCCCTGTGATGGATTGAATTATACCCCAGCCCAAAATACGTACTGGAAGGCTAACCCCTATTCCCAAATGTAATCCAGTTTGACAGGAAGGTTTTCTTTGTCAGGTTACGACAGTCATCCCAAAGCCAGGCCTGGTCTACAGAGGCATCACCTGAGTTCTAAACGGCAGATCAGACAGGAGTTCAAGAACATACTGGGGCAACAGTTGTCCTGTGCCAACTGTCCACAGGCTAAGGAAGCAAGACACACCTGACACGAAGCAAGACACACCTGGCCTACAAAAAAAGGAACTGACATGGTCAAGGCCCTGGTTCGGACTTCTAACCTCCAGAACGGTGAGGACATCAATGTCTGTCCCTGTAGGCTGTCTGCTTGTACTTCTGCCTCAGCAATACTAGCTAACTAGGACAATGTCCCTGAGCCCAGTGCCACCTGAGGGAGGATGCTATTACAGACTGTGACAGGGCCAATGGCCTCTACCCTTTCGGCCCTTTCCCAGTGGAACCGGGAGTGACGGCCGAAGTTCCACCGGTGTTCGCCCTGCAGACCCAGCAACATGGATCAATAGGTCAAACTTTGCGCTTTTCCGTAGACTCATCCCGTCCTAAAAGCTGTTGTTGTGTGCCATCCAGCGGATTCTGATTCATAACAACCCCACAAGATGGAACAGGATCACCCCATCTTGATGGGAGAAGATCTTCAGGTCTTTGCTTCCTCAGAAAACGGTCCTCTCCTTTCAGTTCCAAGCCAGGTGCTTAACCAGGACTTCTTTTGTTCCACTTTAAAAACCAAACCGCACTGCCATCCAGCCAGTGCTGACTCTTAATGACTGTACAGGGCAGGGGAGAAGTCCCCCTGCGAGTTTCCGAGACCACCGTAACTCTTGACAAGAGTAGAAAGCCTCATCTGTCCCCCTCAGAGCAGCTGGTCCTTTGGAACTGACCTTGTAGTTAGCAGCTCTGTTGTAACCACTACACCACTAGGGGCTCCCGCTGTTGCCCTTGGACACACTGAAATAAAATGAACCCCAACACTTGTGACACCAGACTCCAAATTCAGAATTCTGGACCATTGGTGAGGTAACACTTGTTGTAAAGGGTTCATTTCTCTAGGTTTGGTCCTGAAACTGGCCAGATTGAGATGGGGCTCAGTAGAGCTGCCCTTGTGTATAGAAACAACGGAAACCTTATGAAATGGTGATGAGATGTAATCAATTAATATGAGCCTTCTAGCCATAATTCCTTATGTGCTATCATTCTGGACTCTAAGCTTGTGTCTAGAATCCCATTTTGGAGGGAGTTCCTTGCTACACTAACAGACAGGAAGAAGGTAGGGTTAAGCCTGACCTTAGTAGAGGATGTGGACCAAGTCACACCCTTTTGTTTCCTTAGTGGTATCTACTAGAGAGTGTGGTACTCCTGGTAGAGTAGTGGTTACATGTTGCGCTGTGATCCGCAAGGTCAGCAGTTCAAAATCACCAGCTGCTCCACAGTAGAAACGCAAGGCTTTCTACTTCTATAAACAGTTACAGTCTCAGAAACTCACAGGGCCAGTTCTACCCTGTCCTGTCTGGTCAGTATGAGTCGGTATTGACTCGATGGCAGTGAGAGGGAAGAGTGTGACTTAAGACATCATCGGTTGTTTTCCTCTGTTATAGAGCAATCTCACAGAAAGAAAGCCCAGAACCACTGAAAGATTGAGTTCTAGACCTCTGTCTGAAGAGGTAGAAGCTAGACCAGAGACACCGAAGACTATGGGATAGCAAAAGGAGCTGTCCTGAGGCTATGGGACTGTGAAGTAGGGTGACAAGTATGTTTCCTGGTTCACAGAGGAGAGGCCAAAAGACCATGTGACTGAGAGGCTGAGAACCAGACAGGCTTGGCTATTGGCTAAGGAGAGGTGTTGCTGTGGACCAAGGAACTGTATCCTTACTGATTACTGATCCTGACTTGTGGTAACCCATTAACTTCCGTAATAAACTGCTGTAACTGAGCATTGTCTATGAGTTCTGTGTGGCCATTGCAATGAATTATCAAACCCAACATAGATTGCCAATGGTATCAGAATAGATAGCAAAGGATGGGGTGTGGAGGCATGTCCGAACCCTGCATTATGGCAGTAGGGAAACCAGAGGGGGTCACATGACCCCATGCCATTTGCTGCAGATAGAGACAAACAGCACCCCATGGTCCACAGAGCCACCTCACAGAGTCTGTATTGGGTAGGAGTAAGCCCACCGGCTTTAGGGTCAGTCCATTTGTCTTCCAATTCTGGCTCTGCTGCTCATAGGAACCATTGTCTCTGTGCCTTTCCTTATGTGTAAGACGAGGTTACTGTGCCAACCCCTTGACTGGTTCTCTATCAGACTGCTGTGCCCCATAGGGCTTCCCATGCTGGTTCGGGGTAGGACATCACCAGGATAGTCTAACGTTACAGAATTAGTATGAGGCTTAAACCAGGCAATGCTCGTCATGTGCTCAGAAGGCCTGGTCATGTGAAGACCGGAGAAGACTGGATGCATTTGAACGATGGTGCTTGTGAAGCATACCGGAAATACCATGGACTGCCAAGAGAACAAAGAAATCTGTCTTGGAAGAAGTACAGCCAGAATGCTCCTTAGAGTCCTTACGCTCCAGGGAGATGGCCGTTAAGACCCTGTACCATACATTAACAAGGAGGTCTCTGAAGGGAGTCAAAGGCAATTGGGGGGTGGAGGGGTGGGGCGGGGAGAGACATAGATCCAGGAATGGGTTTGGAGCTCGCCCTGAATCCTAGCTCCAATTTAAGAACAATTAGTTCTTAAATCATGGCTCTGCTCAATCCTCGCCCTCAGGAAAGAAGCACAGAAGACATGGGTGCTGTAGCAGTGTGGTGAGGAAGTAGGTAGTGTCCAGCGATCAGATAAAATAGCGTCTGGGGTCCTAAAGGCTTGTTTCCAAACAAGCAGCTATCTAAGTCAGGCTTCACAGCTGTCCACAGAACAATGACCCTCCCAGCCCTCTCCCTTGAAAGTGTTCTCGTGCCAACTGCCAGGAACCACCCACAATTAGCCTGAGGCAGAGATAACAGCTCCCCGACAGACTCTTCTGGCGGGAGCTGGCCTCCATTTGTAACAGCCGGCCAGATTCCAATCCTGCCCACACTTCAGTCCAGGCCCTGCCCAGCTGAGCTCAGGGACCTCTGCCCGCTTTCTCTCCATTGCCGAAAGCCAGAGCCGCAGCTCTCGGTCTTTCCTTAGAGAAGGTCGGAAATGCATCCGTCATTTGAAAAGCATTCATGAAGCTCCATAAAGATTACGGCCTCAGAAACTGGAGGGCACAGTCCTACACACACAGCCCTCTCAGGCTGCTGTGAATCCAAATGCGCTTGGAGGCAGGTTTTGGAGAAAGTTTCTGTCTGCTGGCCCTGGCATCAGATTCATAGTGACCCAAGAGGGCGGGCAGGGTAGAACTGTCCCGGTGGGCTTCCAAGACTGCACCTCCACAGTTGACTGCTCCCACTTTCTCCTGCAGAATGGATGGTGGTTTCAAACTGCTGGCCTTGCAACCAATGTGCAACCCACTGCAAACCCTCCAGGGCTCCCGGGAGCCCATCATCAGAGCTTAGAAACCCCTGGTCCCTGTGGGATGGAGTGGGATGGTGGCGTGTGGTTTAGATCCCAGCACCATGTCTGTCTCAGGCGTGCTGGTCAACTGGGGTCAAAGGTGATGCTTTGTCCTAGTTTAGATTACAGACGTAGCCACGATGCGTGTGTGCATGGAGGATGTGGGGGAGGCACGGCATGAACAAAATCCTCTAAGAGCACAGAGAAAAGATACACTCTCCCAGTTCTAACCCCAGGTCAGGGGCTAAAAACTACCATTTTCAACATTATCGATCCAGCTGTTAAGATTCTTGTCTCCCACCCTGATGAGCGTCCCTCCTTGACCACACGGGCTTGAATTCAGACCCTAGGTCTCCTGGTTAGAATATGCCCCTTCTTCACCTCCAGCCTGCCCTTCCCACACCTGGCCTCCTCTCACACTGCAAGGCGCCTCATGCACCTGGGCAGACACTCCAGTCCGCTCGGTCCACCCCACCTGGGCAAACAGCTGCCCTGGGGCTTGGGAGCTCACACTCCAGCAGCGGCCTGCTCCAGGGAGGATGGGCTCAGGGAAGAGGGTGTCCAGAGAGCGGGGATTCTGGGGACTAAAGGAGCCTTGGTGACACAGTGGTTATGCATTGGGGCAGCTAACCGCAAAGTCAGCAGTTCAAAACCGCCAGCCGCTCTGCGGGAGAAAGACTGGGCTTCCCACTCCTCTAGAGCGTGATGGTCCGTCCCAGCCACTCACAGGGCAGTTCGGCACTGTTCTGTGATGAGTCAGCATTCATTCAGTGGCAGGGAGTTGGGGTGTTTGGATTTGAGGACTAGAAGGGGGGTCTGCAAGCAGGAAGACCCTGCAGAGCCCATGTCGCATGAGGAGGGCCATCGGAAGCATGGCGCCCCGTTGCCCTCCTGCTACAGGGTTTTCTGACAGCAAAGGCAGCTTCCTGCCACTTCCCGGTAGCCCCGGCCTGAGAGAACGAGCAAAGAGCAGACCAGTACAAAAGAAAAAAATACTGTTTATTTCACACAACTACGAGTGCTTCTTCCCCACTCAACCCTCCCAGGCCCACCCTCCAGCCCTCAGCAGGCTCTGCCCCAAACCAGGTCTGTGTCCGAACCAGCCTCGGAGGCAGGCGGGAACTTTGGGCAGAGGCAGGTGGCTGGATTTCGGAGGACAGAAACATCAGGGTCAGTCCATTTGGCCAGATTCCTGCCCTGGTTCGTGCAGGGCCAAAGGGCCCAGCTGGTTCACCAGCCGCTGAAAGATTTGGTCTTCCCCCTCCCCACTTAGAACAAAACCGAGCGAAAGCACAGACACAACCCGCTACCCAGGTCTGCCCTCGCTCCTGCTTTTCCATGGCAACGGAGGCACTGGGCTCTGGCTGCCCACCCGCAGGGGGCTTCCACAAGATCTACCCCAACTCCCTTCAGAGCCTGATGCTATTAAAAAACAAAAAAGACATAAAAAAAAATAAAGCAAGTGTCATGGAGGCCAGCCTGGGCCCCAGGTGCTTCCCTTCGGCTCGAGTGGGGATCAGGGCAAGGAGTACAGGCTGGGGAGCATGCACTGGGCACACTTCAGGGACACGCCTCCTCCTGTGCCCTCCTGTTGGTAGGCACTCCACTCGCAGACCCTCTTCCCCCTGACTTTGTTGCCCCAGAACAGCCGGCAGAGAAGACAGACGGCTTCCTTCTAGCTCAACCTTTGGGCAGACAGACTGACAGGTGTGGGGGGTGGGGGTGGCCTGAGGCAACATGGCTGACCCTCCTCTAGACCAGCACGTTCATTAGCTTTTTCTTGCCGCGACACAGGACAGCCAGTGTCCTCCTGCATGACCGCCACCGTGGACACCCCCTGGAAGACATACTACTCCCAGGGCACCAGGAAGCACACACATTTGACTAGCAGTGTTGACGGTGAAAGTCTGAATCCCCTAAATGGAGGTGTCTGACTCCTCGACAACGAGCCTTACTGAAAAGTTGCTTCCACCACCCCTCCCGCGTGGGATGCCCAGTGTTACCTCAACGCCACAGTTGGGTAGCCTTGACCTTGACTCTGGAGATGGACATGGCCTCTCTTGGGCCGAGTCAGGCAAGGTGCCCCCACCAGCTCGCCCATCACACCACTCCTCCACCCCCCACCCCCAATAGGTTTGGTTTGTCCAAATGCAGGGGTGGGGCC